CTTGAAAAAGAAATTATTTAAAACATACTTGTTATGCTGAAGATCCATGCATAAACTGTATATTAATTCATTCACCAAATATTAATTTAGCACCTGCTATATGGCAGTTACCGTGCTAGTCACTGAAGATATAGTAGGGAAAGAAAGATGTGTGCCAGTCCTCATGAAGCATATATATAAAAAAAAAAAAAAAAAAAAAGAGCTTTTTTTCTCCTAACATGCTTTTACTGAAGAATTGCTGAAAACTAGATTATGAGTACTCATGGACCAGATGGCAGTTTTCTGCCCATCTGGGATAGTTCTAAAGAATAGACCCTTATGTATCAATCAAGGTTTCTTCTAGTTCTAAGCTTTCATGATCTATGATCTAATGGTTGAAACAGAATGTATGCTTCCAAAAAGATGTTATACTTGTATTACTTTTTATAAATGGAAACAGAGTTATGGCCTATTAATTCAGAGGAAATTGAGTTTCTTCTGTCTCTTTAAATAATTCTATTTAAACTCCTTTCACCCTTCCTTCTCAGCTCACCTTCCAAAGCTCACTCATAACCCCTTTATTCTCACTTCCCTTTCCTTCCTTTAATGACTGAGACAAATTGTTTATCTCTAACTAGAGAAACATGACACCTTCAGTTAAAGGTCTCTCTGTGGATACAAATTCATCATATTCCAAATGAATTCATACACACATATGCCATTCCTCTTTTTTCTGATTTTCTATTTCCATCAGCAATATCCTCCTTCTTCCAGTCTTCCATACTTGAAATCTAGGAGTTTATTTGCTTCTTCAAAAATTACTCTCCAACATCAAAGTGGGTTGTTCTTCCTTTTTTCAAAATACCTCCTAATGCATACCTTCTTTTATATTTCATATAATATGATCTGAATTCCAATGCATATCACCCCAAGTCTAGTCAATTGAAATAGCCTCTAACTGATCTCACCCTGAGGATCCCTTTTGAATCTGCTTTACCCCATACTGACAAACTAATCTTCCTTCACCCAACTTTCCTCTAAATTAGTGAGTCACCTCACAGAAATCTTCGGTAATTCTCTTTGCCTATAGGGTAAATCTTGAGCCTTAGAGCCTGGAATGCCTTATTTTGCACCATCTGCTTTCAACATGCCTAGCTAATTGTATCTCACTGTCGTCTTCATCACCAGTGTTCCGCTGCCTCAAGCCTTCTCTCAGCTTGTCATTATTCTTTACCTCTAACCCTTTATGCTTCCAAAGATCAGGGCCTATAGCATTTATTTCTTGCATATCCCTTTTGGTATTAATAATACTTATAAAGTGAACAAATAACCAAGGAAAAAACTATTAAGTAATCATCCCAAAATGCAAGGTACTGGTGTACAATTTCTGGCTTTTGTTTCCTGGTCTGTATATACTATGGTATATTGGTTAAAAACACAGCCAGTTAGAAAGGTCTAATGCATGGAGGCTACTGTTTCAAAACGTTGTCAGATTTCATTTCTTAGCATAATTACTCACAGAATAAAATGCTTTGTTCCTAAGTAATCACAGTTTGTGAGGACCTTGGTTGCTTTCAAGTTTTTCTCTTTCTTAAAATTATTTATTTATTTAGTCAATGGTGCATTCAACCCACATAATATGTTTCTCCTATAATAATTTGTGAAACACAATATTTTATGCTAAATTTCGTAGTTATTTTAAGACTATTTCCTGACTATTTCATTTCATTACATGATGCTTTTTAAATTTCAGGCTCATTCTCATGCATTTTCTTAAGTTTGAGTTATAGGGATAGGAATTCACTTTGATCTCATTTTAAATTCTTGACAATATTGGGTGTACCTTGGAAACTACCACTGCAGTCCTCCTTTTATAAGGAGGAAACAACCTTCAGAGATTAGGGGCCCATAATGGACTTCAATGCTGCATCTGCATGGGCCCTATGACGCTACTAACATAATTACCAGAGGATGTGGCCTGTGGCACAGTCACTCCCTCACTGTCTATGTGTTCCCCTTGGGATTTCTTTCTCAGTATGTGAAAAGATTTCTGATCAGTGTCCACTCTTATATGGCATCTTCTCCGCCACCAAACTTTCTCATCTCTTGATTAATTTGTTCATGAAATGACCCATTCTAAATTTAGAACTAATTACATACTCCAAATATTCATTTGCATGTGTTTTTCCACAACCTTTTCTATAATCTAATGGTATCATATTCTTCGTGACCAGGAATTGACCTTGCATTGGGTCATAAAATATATTGACAATTAACATTTCATTGCTATGTATACTACATTTGGTCTGTATTCAGTAAATTAATTGATTAAAAATAAAGAAATTAAAAAGCCAATTGCTTAATAAATATTTATAAAATACCTTTTTTCCCACTTTAATCTTCAGGATAGCAATTAAGAGCAAGAGCCAAACTGAATGAATTTGAATCCTGGCTCTGCCAGTTTACTATTTAAGCTTAGGCAAGTTTTTCTTTTTAACCTTTTGTGCCTCATTAATGAAGTGGGGGTATAATATTAATTCCTATCACAGAGTTATTGTGAAGCTGAAATAAATTAATTCATATTGTCATGCATATAGTGTTTAATAAATATTAGCCATTTTGTACAGTGTTTGGTGCCTTGCACATTATAACCTATACCTCTCCATTTATTAACACAATAGCAACAATGACAGTGGCTCCTAAGTCATATTATTGTCCACATTTTACTGATAAAGTTAAGGATAATTTACCCAAGGACATTGTATTAGTCAGGGTTCTCTAGAGAAACAGAACCAATAGTTAGATAGATAGATAGATTTGTATATTTATTTGTTTATTATAAGGTATCATTATAAGGTATTAATAGCTCATGCAATTTTGGAGGCTAAGAAGTCTCATGATCTGCTGTCTGCAAGCTGGAGACCCAGGAAAGCTCATTATGTGATTCCAGTGTGAGTCTGAAAGCCTAAGAATCAGGGTTACAGATGATGTAAATCCCAGTCCAAGGGCAGGAGATGACCAATGTTCCAGCTCAAGCAGGCATGCAAGGCAAAAAGGAACATGCCTCTTTGTTCTGTCCTCAAATGATTGGATGATGCCCACCCACACTGAGGAGGGAAGTCTACTTTACTGAATCCACTGATTCAAATACTAGTCTCATCTGAAAAAATCTTTGCAGACACACCCAGAAATAACATTTAATCTGGCCACCCCATGGCACAGTCAAGTTGGACACAGAATTAACCATCACAGACATGCAGTCAGTGTCAGAGGGTATTCTTGTTTATTCCCCATCTCTCTCTCTCTCTCTCTCTCTCTCTCTCTCTCTCTCTCTCTCTCACACACACACACACACACACACACACACACACACACACACTACATTTACTCATTAATCCATTTGTTTGGTCAACTAGTCATTAAACAAATATTTGCTACCACTAAACCCTGGATATAGGGTTGCACTATAGATGCTATGTATAGAGTTTAGTGCATCCTGAGGAGTGTGGGGGGTGGGAGGGTGCAGGGAGACAGAGATGAGCAAGGAATGATTCCTGCTATCTAGAAGTTTATAATCTTGCAAGAGATACTCTTGTCCATATAACTAAAATGGATGATATGATAGAAGTGCTCCAAATATAAACCATGTGCTATGCTAATGCTGAATGAGCCATTAATAAGCACTAACCTGGAGCTGGGAGAAAAGGGGAGTAAGAGCATTCCAGAGAGAAGGAGCAATATGAAGAAATCACACATTAGTTATATTGGATGGAATAGCACAGTACAGGCAGGTAGTTTGGTGGGCTTAACAGGTAGAGTTTGGCTGGGAGTGCAGGGTCATAAGGCTAGGAAGGTGGGTTTGGTATGTTCCTTGTAATTTTTTGTGCATAACAATGAGGCAAATTCGGCATTTTGGGGAATCCCACTTGGTTATTACAAATATTTGGTCCAAGCAAAGATAGGCAAGGCTAAGGGAGAGGGTGAAAAAAGATTATACTGCGTGTACATTAGGCACTTAATTTGTAGTGGAAAGCCAGAGTTGGCTTTAGACTGGACTACCTGAGCCACTTTTCTGATGAGATTAAGGTCTATTTTACCTCTTGGGACTTCTCCACACAATAGGAGCTAACCCCCATGCGTTCTGGTGGCTCTGAGCAAGTTCTGAGTTTAGCGTGGACTGAATCAAGATTCAGAACTAGAAAGCTAAGATGCCTGAGGCTGCCACTAATATCAGACTGGAAAATGCCAGATGACAAAGTATACCATTTCCCCCATAAAATTCTTCCTTTTGTTCACACCAAGAATGGAATTCACTAAGTTGACAGGATACTGTGTCAATATATTATAGAAAAATCAAATAGAAAAAAAATGGCAATTTTTTAACTCCATGCCTTCTTAAAGGTATATTTCTCAGCAATTTCCAAGTCCAAGCCACTGAAAACTAAAATCTGAAATTTCTTTTATCTCACTATCTACCCTATTTTATCCAGCATTTAAGCCTTGCCTCTAATTATTTGATATTTAAGTATTAATCAACTATTGGTTGCTTATTATCAAGAATTAAATATCACTCAATGATCTACTAATTATTAATCAATATTAATTCTTAAAATAGTCAAAAACAATAGACTGAGACTAAAAGACAAGACTTATGTCATTTCTGAGATGCTTTAGTCACATAACATAATACCAAATGGCACCTTCCCTAATCTTTTCATATAATATTTAGAGTTTGCATTTTTTGATATTACCTATTGAGGCAATAGTTCATTTGTGGTTTCCAATGAGTGGTGTGTAAAAAAGAATCTCATTTTAACATTGTTGAGAGAGGAATCTTTTGTGTTTGTCCTTGGTTTGATAAAAATGGGTCTGGGAGACCATATACGGTAAATGGAGATGAAAAAAACCAGGGTTATGAATTGTAGTGTTCTCAGCCTTAGAGGCCCAAAATATCTTATCAGAAAAGATACATTGTTTTAATTGCTCCTTAGTATATATCATTTCTCTCCTATTCCTCCCAGGTGGCTGTCGAAGACCGTGTCAGGCAGCTGCATGAAGCCCACAGGGACTTTGGCCCAGCGTCCCAGCATTTCCTTTCCAGTAAGTCGTTTTCGGCTTTTATCACTTCACCTCTTCATTGCATCTTGGTTGCTGAGAATTAAGAGTTGGAAAAAAAAATAATAATTGAATTACAATCATCTCTGCTAGATGTAGTGGAGGCATAAATCATCCTGAAATACAACTTGGTGGATAGATTCAGAAGGTTAGGAAGAGGAAGGCCAATTAGATTATTTTGTCCAGTCTTTAGCTAATGCATAATTGTTTCCTGCAATGCAGTTTCAAATAAAGACTAATATTTTTTAGTCTTTATTTCTGCCTATCAGTTCAGCTCATTAAGCTGATAATTATGATATTATGTAATGATGATATGATCATTCAGTATAGTTACTGTGATTTTATAATTCTTTATCGCTATATGATTCATTAAAAACTCCCTGCCTCCAGGTTGGAACCTCAGCCTATGGTGTTTCCTTTTTTTATCTTATTTTCCTTTTGTCTATGACCTTGACTCATTCTTTTTATTTGCTACTTTTACTATTTTATTAATTATATTTTATAATTAATTATATTATTTATATATTGTTAATAAATATATTTTCTAATTAATACTAAGAGGAATAACCTTATTTAACTGAAAGTTTAAGTATTGGAACATCATATTAATATAACAATGCATATTGAATTGGCAAGTTTTCCTCTAATGTTTTTTTTTCCTCTAATGTTGTTAATTTATACAACTCTTCCTTTGATTATATAAGAATATATGTTGATGCTTTCAGTATTTAAAAAGCCATACTTTTTTTACCACATGGACTTAATATCTGTTGGCATTTTGATGTATTTCCTTCTGGTCATATATGAGTACACATGAAAGTTTAACCATTATTTTAAGTCAATTACTTTGTGCCTGGCAAGGTTACAAATATTAGCTAATGTAATCCTTATGGCAACCCCATGAGGTAGGTACCATTATTATATCCATTTTAATGATGAGAAAATTGAGGCACACATTCACAAAGTTATTAGATGGGAGAGCCAGGATTCAAACCCAAGAAGTTGGCTCCCGTCTGTGTTTTTAACCATCACACCATAATTTTTCTTAATTTATATATTTTATAGAGAAGAAGTAATTCTATGTGATCTTCCTTCATTCTTTTGCCACATTCTTTCTGTTATCATTATTTTGTTTTAGAGACAGGATCTCGCTACATTGCCCAGGCTGGTCTCAAACTTCTGGGCTCAAGCAATCCTCCTGCCTCAGCCTCCCAAGTAGCTGGGATTATAGGCACATTCTTTTATTGCCATTTTCTGGTCCTTTCCTTCCTTTTCCATTCTTCATGGGTTAAAAGGATCCATGTTCACAAATATTTTAAATTATTTAACTAGATGCTTTCATATATTTCTCCAGTTGGCCATTGTCTTTTAGAACAAAAATCCTAGAAGGTGTCGATCCTTTCTTTTTTGTTATACATTGATAATGAGTTAAGTAAGAAGTTGTCTTATTTTCTTGACTGGCTCTAACCTTATCATGTGCATGTGGTCTAGTTATTTGAACAGTACTATGTATGCTTAGGAGTTGCTAAGAAGAAAGTGGTTAAGTTAAAGTAGTATATTTAAATAAGTAGTTTGTGGCTTTTAAGAATGACTCTAGAAAAATGATAAAGGCTTCAGATTTTATCTTCTGTACTTTTCCAAATCTCTGGTCTGCTTAACTCGCCTTGGTGACAGCCATTCTATCCAATTTAACTAAGATTAAATGTGATAACATACTCCTAAGTGACTTATAAACCATAAATAAAAAATAGTACTATTATGAATATTAATTATTCCTCAGACATCATGTATATTCATTTATACTTTGTTCTCTCTGCCCTCCCTCCAAATTCCTGTGTCTTCCCCATTAAAACCTATTCCCAGAAAATGATATACTCATTTAACCCAGGTGACAGGTAAAGTTTAATGTGTACTTCTCCTGGGTTATTTGCATTTTATTAGGGTGAAAATCCATAAGCCTGAGGAATGGGTCTCTGGTGGTAGAACATCAGCCATAAGCTCTGAGCCGGGAGGGAAGGACTTTGAGGGACCAGGTAGAGCATCTCCACCCCTTGCAAACCATATCACATCAGTGCCCACTTCCAGAAAGGTCAGGCCTATTAGAAACAGACAATCTTAAAGAGACTGATCTACCTGCCTGAATGGAGGCAGCCCCAGGAGACACCAATCCCTGGAATACTCATGTGGAATACCAATATATACTTAAAAGTTTTGCTCGTGGGTATAAAAAAAAAATACCAGTTTGGTTTAAGGGATCTTTAAGATTAGAACAGTGACACTGAGGATGGACTATTTCTTTATGTTGCCCTTTTTAAAATTACAAAGGTAATAATATATACTCATCAAGAAAAAAATGGGCCCTGACTTCAGCATTATACAATTCACCCATGTAACAAAAACACTTGTAGGCCAGGCGCAGTGGCTCACTCCTGTAATCCTAGCACTCTGGGAGGCCGAGGCAGGCGGATTGCTCGAGGTCACGAGTTCAAAACCAGCCTGAGCAAGAGCAAGACCCCGTCTCTACTATAAATAGAAAGAAATTAATTGGCCAACTAATATATATAGAAAAAATGAGCCAGGCATGGTGGCACATGCCTGTAGTCCCAGCTACTCAGGAGGCTGAGGCAGAAGGATTGCTTGAGCCCAGGAGTTTGAGGTTGCTGTGAGCTAGGCTGACGCCACAGCACTCGGTCTAGCCTGGGCAACAAAGTGAGACTCTGTCTCAAAAAAAAAAACAGACATTTGTACCTCCTTAATATTTTGAAATAAAAATTATTAAAAAAAAAACAGAGAGTATAAGTAGGATAAGGAAAATTATTCATAATCCCACTACTCAGAAATAATCACTATTAGTAATTTGGTTTATATACTTTTGTTTTTCTCTTGAGGTAGATGTGTGGGTGTGTGTATGAGAGTGTGTGTATGTGTGCGAATCCAGGTTCCTGTTTTTCTTTTAAACCAAGCAGGTTCAAAAATATGTTACAGTTTTATGGCCTGCTTTTTTTTCCCTTAAAACTATGTTAAAAATATTTTTCTATCTTAAGTATTTTTCTACAGAGTAATTTTTTTAGCGGCTGGCTAGTGTTCTTTTCTGTGGCTGTACCAAATTTATCAAGACCATTCTGAATTGCTCAATATTAAGGTTATTTCAAAATTTTCACTATTATATGTAGCATTATGATTGACATCCTTTTTATACCTTTACAAACATCTCACATTCTTTCTACAGGATAATTCCCTAAAAGTAGAATTGTAATGTTAAAGATGTTTACATCTTTTATAAGGCTTTTCATGTGTATTTCCAAACTGACCTCTAGAAAGTTGTACCAGAAATTGTGTGTGGCATCAAAACTATGTTTCAGTCAGGGTATCTCTGGAGTCCCTTATTTAGTATTAAATAGTATTCTATCAAAGAAAAGCAGGCTGGATGCTGTGGCTCACACCTGTAATCCTAGCAATTTGGAAGTCTGAGGCAGAAGAATCACTTGAGGCCAGGAGTTCAAGGCCAGCCTGGACAACATAGCAAGACCCTGTCTCTACAAAACATTTAAAAATTAGCCACACGTGGTAGTACATGCCTATAGCCCTAGCTTCTCAGAAGGCTGAGGCAGGAGAGTCACTTGCACCCAGAAGTTCTGAGGTTGCAGTGAGCACCACTGCACTCTAGCCTGGGCGAAAGAGCCAGACTCTCTCTCAAAAAAAAAAAAAAAAAAGGACAAGAAATGCAGCTTTCCTCCCCAAATAAATAAAAATATGTTTGAACAATTCCACTAAGGTCATATTAAATGAATTTGAATTGATACATATTTAGTAATTTGCTTCCAGGTTACTACTACTAATAATAGAGTGATTTTCAAACCTTAGAAATTACAAAGAAAAGAAAAATAAAGATGAGCTACTGACTGCAACTCCCTCACAAGCTTGCTTACTGTCTCTCTCTCCATCTTATTCTCTCTCTCTCTCTCTCTCTCTCTCTCTCACACACACACACACACACACACACACACACACACACACACACACACACATTTCCCTCTGGAAATCACATTACCAGCTGTCTGTTTTTTATCAGAAGAGAGAGGCAGCCTTTTACTAAAAAATTATTCACTGTTTCTTCCTGGTGGCCCAATCTCTACTTGTTAAAGAAGTTGTGTCTTTTATCTTAGATCTGAGAGAAAATGAGAAGGGAAAAACATTGTATAATATGACCCTTCTCCATTTATAGACAATAACTTGCCTTTAATTCTGGTTTTAATACTCTGCTACTCTTAATTGACTTTGGTAACCTAAACCAAGAAAAAGGAGAAATTCTAAGAGTATAATTTTGAATATATATAATTTACTATAAAATCATTTTAAATTATTATAAAAATTATATATGTAATTATATGTAGTTGGTAGGTACAGTGTCAATCTCTTCCTATGTCAAGTGATCAAGAAAGTACCATAGTATTCATTAATTGGCATAATAGTCTGAATATTGTCCTTCTTTTGTTATTTTCAAGAATTTAAGAATTTTTCTTACTGCCTTTTCAATTTTCTGGGCTCCTGTTCTAAATTTTACTTTTTTCATCAAGAAAGAAAACTATATATTTGGGTAACAGTTGAAATCCTCCTATATCAGTAAAAAGAATAATCTGTGACTGTCTTAATATTTCACATATTCTAGAATTCCCTAAAAAGTATTTTCTAAGCCAGATTCCTCTGAACATTAATGTTCTGTAAGATTTTAATAACTGTCCTTTGAAAAACTAGTTCTGAGATCAGTAAGATTGGAAAAACACTAAGTTATAAAGATAAGCAAGGTTCTTTCCTGTTGGAATTCTTGGAGCCTTTATTATACATTGAAACTCTAAGAGGAGATAAAGAATCTGTAGTTCTTCTCCATACCTACGTGATTGTGGAAGCCTTTTTCAGGCACACCAACTAATTTCTCACTAAACATGCCATGGAACACAATGAATCTTTGCCTTAAAATGGTTATT